TAGAGCCAAGATTAAGATCGAGAACCACTGCTGTAAGGCTATGACTGTGAATTTAGATACAGGGATTGTGGATAAGCAAATGTTTATCAGTTGAATTACAGTGGGAATGCACTCTAAGAGTTTGCTGTTATGAGCAAAATAGGATGGGGCAAAGTCAGTGGATTTGGGGAAGAGTTAACCCCACCACATCCCATTTTCCTATGTTTGAATTCAGTTTATCTACCAAGCACCCCGTTTATGTGACATCCCATGTGAGTCTCTGGTACACTATCTCTCTGAAGAAATTTAGTGATGGGGGCAAATTACTGTATATTCCACCTGCTGCCTAGGTAGTTGTCAGCTGGTTCTGAAGGATTAAGGTGATGGTAAAAAAAAAACTATAGAAAGAAAGAAAATGGAAGCTATAAAGGAAAGAGATTTTCAGGTACATTGTGGTCCTTTATGCCATAAATTCTCTTGCTATTATTTTTCAGAAGGATGCTCATAGTCCCCCAATGGCCATTTCCCCAGGAAAGCTTAGAATACAGTGACTGCAATGAATAACAATGTTCCCGCTTTAGGACATTGTGGCCATGTATTTATCTTGTTGACTATCAAGAAATCCAAGCCTCTTTGAGAGCTTGGATTGCTTAAAATCTAAAATATCCATGCAAGGTAAAGGGGAAAGACATATGTCTATTTTCTTGGAAGAGACAATAGCGGGAGATATTTCAGCCCATTTTAGGTGGGTCTGTAAAATTTTCCTGGATGTCATTTCCTTGACCTTCCATTGCTGAGATGCTCATCTTTTTTCTAGAGTGCCTGCGTCTAAACAGGTCTGAGAGGATGGTAAATGGGCTTGCGGCTGAGACTGGAAGCTGATGCCCTACAAGTGAGCACATTGAGCGCTGAGCATGATACATTGTAAAGCAAAAGCACCATTTTCCCCTCTAGGCTTGTAATGATGAGGCCACTGCATCCCAGGGAGGAACATCCATCCATCCCCTCGCCAGTCTGTGTAAAGAAAAGACTAGAAATCTGAAAATGATTGGCTGAAAGAGAACTTGTAAAACCATGGCGTCACTGCCTTTAGGGGAGAAAAGCTGTATTTTTCCTCTCCCCTCCATTCTTAATGGGGCCCATTCCCCACCCAACTCAAATTAGGGGGTGCCCTGCAAGGACTGTGCATGCCTATGAGATGGGAGCCTGGCATCCCTTTTCCCCCTGGATATCTGCTGGAGCAGGGGGTTTTCCCATCTTCCCTCTGTTTCTGTTTGAATGAAGGCAACAGAAAGCAAGTGAAGAGAGGAGCTGGTGGGACAGCTTGCAAACTCCTGGGGTGGGCGGCGGACAAGCGTCATGAGTTTTCAGAGTACCACATGGGAACTGAGAGCCAGTTTTTCTTTAAGTGTCCCTTCCACTCTCCTCCAAGGAACCTGCCAGCAGGGGAGGAATGCCATGGTGATAAGGGGCACTGGAGAGTATTACCAGGGACAGAAGGGAGAGGGAGGTCAAGTTAAAAGGCTTCTCCCATATTAGGGAAGCCAGGGACCTCTGGGCGCACTGAGGAGCCCCACACAGCCAGGGGAGGAGCTATAGGAGCAACTATAGCTGCTAAATAAAAATTCCTCAATCCCCACTTTCAGTTCCTGATCTGGGAGATATCCAAACCCTTAGGAGGAAGGGGAAGAGGCATGAAGGAGAGAGAGTCAAGGGTGTCTGCTTCCCAGCATGCAAGGCAGGTCTGAGCTGGTGGAGAGGGGAAATGCTTTGGGTAAGAACGAATTTCAAGTTAGACCAATGGGGCTGGTCATTTTAACACTACCTGTGAGCTCCACCCAATATGCCACCAAGGGGCAGGAAAGGAAGAGGAGCCAACAGCACATGTGTGAAGTCTTACAGGAGAAAATGTAATCGTTTTGTCTTCACACCCACCAAGTACGTGATTGTTCAATAAACTATGAGTTGTGACCAGGCACAGAATCCAACTTTGCACAAAGGGAATTATTATGAGGCAGCAGAGACCCATTGGACTGTCCCATACTTTCCTGTGGTTTCTTCTTGGCCCCAGGCATGCTGGCCCACACATGTGTCCTTGGGTGACTGGTCGTTTGTTCAAGACTTTTAGTAAGTGATCTGTCCCCCCAAAACTTGTGATCTAAAGCTTCAGTCCTAATACAGAAGGTCATTGAAAGCATAAACTATATTGGGAAAAAAAATTCTGAATTTGTAGGTATTTAAGGAAGAAAGGGAGAAAAAACTTGCAGAAGAAAGTGGAAATTAAAAGTCATCCAATTTAATCAGATTTCAGTGAACGTTTCTGCCTCTCTCGGAGCTAAACCTCTTTCACTGACCCTCTGCGTGTATCTTATGCTAAAGGCGAATCTTTCGATATTTTGCTAGTGCACCCTGGTTCTGGGGTCAGATGCAATGGAAATAGGTTTTAATGAAATTACATTGACCATGTGGTTCTGAAATCAGCAGCAGTAGATCACTTATGAGGCGGTTTTTCAGTGTGACTCTGGGAGACATTTCCAGAGACTTGACAGAAACTGTTTCTTTAGTGTTTCTGCTAAGTTTTTGGATGAAAAATGCTTAATCAATTCCCCTTTTTATTTTTTTTGAGGCAGCGTCTCACTCAGTTATTCTGAGTACAGTGCTGTGGCCTCATAGCTCACAACAGCCTCAAACTCTTGGGCTCAAGTGCTCCTTTGGCCTCAGTCTTCTGAGTAGCTGAGACTACAGGCACCCACCACAATGGCTGGCTATTTTTTAGAGATGAGGTTTTGCTCTTGCTCAGGCTGGTCTTGAGCTCAGATCCACCCTCCTCAGCCTCTCAGAATGCTAGGATTACAGGTGTAAGCCACTGTGCCTGGCATCCCTTTTGTGAAATTTAATTCTGCTGGCTACGAATGAGGATGCTGGGAGATACGAGGACCATTACATCACCCAGTTTTAGCTTCCTTACAGCACTGAAACGCTCTCTCTTTCTTTCTTTCTTTCTTTTTTTTTTTGTTTGTTTGTTTATTGTTGGGGATTCAGTGAGGGTATAAGAAACCAGGTTATACTGATTGCATTTGTTAGGTAAAGTTCCTCTTACAACTGTGTCTTCCCCCCAAAAGGTGTGTCACATACTGAGACCCCGACCCCCTTCCCTCTCTCTGCTCTTCCTTTCCCCCACCCCCTTCCCCCCTCTCTCTCTCCTCTTCCCCCACCCCCCACCGTGTACTAGGTCATTAATTGTCCTCATATCAAATTTGACTACATAGGATTCCTGCTTCTCCATTCTTGTGATGCTTTACTAAGAATAATGTGTTCCACTTCCATCCAGGTTAATGCAAAGGATGTAAAGTCTCTACCTTTTTGCTGGCTGAATAGTATTCCGGGTATACATATATCACAGCTTGTTAATCCATTCCTGTGCTGGTGGGCATTTAGGCTGTTTCCACATTTTGGTGATTGTAAATTGAGCTGTGATAAACAGTCTAGTACAAGTGTCCTTATGATAAAATGACTTTTTTCCTTCTGGGTAGATGTCCAGTAATGGGACTGCAGGATCAAACGGGAGGTCTGGCTTGAGTTCTTTGAGGTTTCTCCAAACTTTCTTCCAAAAAGGTGGTATTAATTTGCAGTTCCACCAGCAGTGTAAAAGTTGTAGTTTTTTGTTTGTTTTTTTGAGACAGAGTCTCACTATGTTGCCCTCTGTAGAGTGCTAGGGTGTCACAGCTCATAGCAACCTCTAACTCTTCAGTTTAAGCAATCCTCTTGCCTCAGCCTCCCAAGTAGCTGGGACTATAGGTGCCTGGGCTATTTTTTGGTTGTAGTTGTCATTGTTGTTTAACAGGCCAGGGCTGGGTTTGAACCCACCAGCCCCAGTGTATGTGGCCAGGCCCTAACTACTGATCTCTTTTTATAAGTTGATATGCTATTTAGTATCTTTCTCCATCTGCTGAAATATCCACGTCAAAAGAACAGAGACCTTTCCACTTTGTTTAATTCCATGTGTTTGCGTTTGGAACCATTCCTGGCACACAGCAGCCCCTCTCTTTTATTTAAATAATGATTTTTCATAAAATGTAGTAAGGGATGAGTTGTCGGGGGTGTTTGCCTGCAAACCCCGACCTGATTTGAATGCCAGCTGAGAAAACAACGCTGAAGATACGTGAGTTACAGCGAGTTTAAAACAAAGTCTGTAAGTGCCCTGAGAAGGCTTACTCAGGCCACCCAGTAAGACCGAGAAAATGCAGCCTCCCTCTGGCCTGTTCAGAGGCTTTTATTGATTTTTAACAAAGGTGCATATGCAAGAGATAGGGTGGAAAGAATCCCATGTTCCCAGGAAGACTGGATAGAGAGAGACAAGGTAAATGGCACGGGCTTTGGTGAACAGCCCATGGTGTATTTAACTAAAGGGGGAGGGAGAACTTAGTTCTATTCACATGGGGAAAGTACACCAGGTCTCCTATCTGCCTACATAGTCAGTCTTTAATCCCTCCCATCTGTTGACTCTCTAATGCCTAGGCCTGGTCCAGCAAGTCTGGCTGCCTCCAGGTTCTTTTCATTTTCAATTCATCTGAGGGTGTTCCCCCGGATTCCCCAGGATTGAAAGGGGTGCCCTGTTGAGAAGTCAGCCTGGCTACCTCCTGCAGTGAGTGTCCCGTGAGCATTGCCCAGAAGCAAAGGGGTGCAGGTTGATTAATTATAGACCGGAGATTGAAGGAGTCAGCAGGAGGTAAAAGGAGACAGATTTTAAAGAACGAGTATTATTTTGGTTGGAAATAATGGGAAAGGGGGAGGGTTGTGTTGGGGAAGTGGCCCGTAGATCCTCTTCTGGCCATGAACAGATTGGTGACGCTGTCCCTGACCCCAATATTTCCTTCATGCTTGCCCATTGAGATTATTTATTCATTGATTTCATAAACATGTTTTGAGCATTCTGTGGGTGCACTGAACCTACCAGTGGTTAAGTATTAAACGTGTTGACAGCAGGTCAATCTTCGCAGAGGCAATTTTGTACTATTTATTTAAGGCCTTGATTGGGTCAATAGGGACAGAGGTCCAAACCTTAGATGCCACAGAGAGGCATTTCAGAAAGAAATCTGGGAGAAGCTCACCCACAAAAAGGAGAAAGACTTTTGTCTTGAGAATGGCTGGTAGGAGACTGACCCAGCTTGTGGGAGGGGTGGATTCCTGGTTCAAATATTTGCAAGAGGATGGGTGGAGGGCAGCATTTTGTGAATTGGGATGTGCAGATCCTAGTGCCAAATTTTTTCTTTCTGACATTGTCTCCTGAGGTGACTAGCTTTTTCTTTTTTTTTTTTTTTTTGAGACAGAGTCTCATTTATGTTGCCCTCGGTAGAGTACTATGGCATCAACAGCTCACAGAAACCTCAAACTCTTGGGCTTAAGTGAGTCTTGTGCCTCAGCCTCTGGAGTAACTGAACTACAGGTGCCTGCCGGAATGCCCGGCTTTTTTTTGTTGCAGTTGTCATTCTTGTTTAGCAGGCCCAGGCCGGGTTCAACTTTGGTGTTTGTGGCTGGCGCTGGACTCACTGAGCTATGGGTGCCGAGTCAATGAGGCAACTATTCTTGAGGGGAGAATGCCATCCAGGCCAAGGCTGCTTCTTGTGGGTTGCCCTTAGGGAATAAGTGAGCAGGAACACAGGATAACAATCAATTAACTTATTTGTAACATTTAAGATGGAGAACTCTGATTCCTAACTCAGGAGACCTGGGAACAGAATCCTATCTCAAGCTGTAGCGAGAAATCTGGCTGGAAATAAACAGGACTACTTCTTTGGATCTCAGATTACTCATCTGTAAAATGAAACATGAAACTTGGGGGGTGCCCATAGCTCAGTTAGCAGGGCGCCAGCCACATCCACCAAGGGTGGTGGGTTCAAACAGGGCCCAGGCCTGCTAAACAACAATGACAACTGCAACCGAAATATAGCCAGGTGTTGTGATGGGCGCCTGTACTCCCAGCTGCTTGGGAGGCGGAGACAGGAGAATCTCTTAAGCCCAAGAGTTTGAGGTTGCTGTGAGTTGTTGACACCACAGCACTCTACCCAGGGCGACAGCTTGAGACCCTATCTCAAGAAAAAAAAAAAAAGAAAGAAAGAAAAAGAAACATGAACCTTACCTTGTGTGGAAATAAGGAGCGTTAAGTGAGAGGGTGTGCCTAGTACAACGTATTTTGCATAATAAGCATCTATATGTACTAGGCCCTAGTAAGAATAGAGCCTTAAGTAATTCAAGAAATATTATCAAGTCCTTGTACTGGTACAAAGATGAATGAAAATGAAGGCTGACAGGTCAGGGTGCAGAAACGTATTTAATTAAGTCATTGCTGGATAATAAGTGACAATGTGAGAGAATTAACCAGCTGCTGCCTGCAGTTTAGAAACTTTAACCAGCTTTCTTTCCTAGTAAGGATAGGGATGGTATCTCAGTTCCTGTGTCTGATCTGGAGCCTATACCTTTCCTAGACCAGGCCATAATTCTACTTATTGAATCTTCACATAAAAACAAACAAACAACAACACTTCTCCCTTTTTTCCTTAATCAGGTGTCTGCTTATTAGTACACATCATTCTAATGGCAGCTACTGTGCTGGAGGAGGGAGGATGTATCGGACCTCCAGGACTCCCAGGCCCTCCTGGCTATGTGGGATATCCTGGTATTCCAGGGCCTCCGGGTTTTAGGGGTAAGAAATGTATTTCTGCTGCCTTGTATTTTCTCTTCTCCTTTTACAATTTTAGTCGGAAAGCCACTAATGTCCATGGGCCCAGCAGCATGAGGCATTCAGGATGAAAAGAATCTAAAGAAAATAATCAGCTGTAGGATTGGGTCCCAAGGCAGGGTGGCTGGTTACCCCAATTACAGTAGTTGGAGAGACTTCCCTAGTTGTAATACTGGGGGGTCTGAAATCCATACATGTAAGGGATGGTGGGAGCAGGTGATAATTAGAGACAGAACCACAGATCTACTGACTGTCCAGTAAACAGCAAGACAGTGAGTGGGATTGTTAAGTTAGTACCATCCAGTGAACTGGGCTTTGTGAACCATCTGAAGAACTGCCTTTCCCTGGGCAGCTAAGGCCCCAGAACTAGTTATTATGAAGACGAGTCCAGCTGATGAGCACCAGGGTCTGGCATCAAGATTCTTCATAGATCCTGGCTTGGTTGGACCAAAAGGGGACTCAGGAAATCTCATAATTCTATGTAGGCTCTCGTCATGATCAGTGGCCATACCCAAGAGGGTTAGATTTGGCAATCCAAAGGTTTTCTGGCCCCAAGAATTAGATATCCAGGCCTTTTTATTTCTCATTCTCAGCAAGACTCTCATTAACAAGAATTAGTTCCACCTAAATCAGTACTGCGAAATCATTTTGTTCTGCCTTTACTGTTACCTTTTCCCTGAAAGAGCCCAGGAAGTAAAGAATCTTCTCAAGACCTGGAGGCCAAAGGAATGAATAACAGCTGACGTATGTTAAGTCTTGATGTTCACTAGGCATGCTAAGTCCTATAGATAAATTGTCTCATTAAAACATCATACGAGTCGTGTAAGAGGTAACTAACTTTATCCTCCTAGTTTATAATGAAATCCAGCCCTAAAAAGGTTAGATGACAATAGCAAAATGACATAGCTGGTCAATTTCAGAGATGTGGCTCATAACCATTTAAAGCATACACCAAAGATCAGTCTGTTAGCCAGGATGTTATAAAAAAAAAAAAAAAAGAAGCGGGCAGTTGCCCAGATAAACCTTCCTGGCTGCTATCTGCGTCTCAGCGGTGCTTCTCCACTCTTTCCACGGCTACCAGGTATCCCAGGAAGACCAGGATTTGCAGGAGCAGCGGTACAATGTCCCTGCAACAAGAAATCAGCCTTCACTGCGAAGCTCAGTGGCAAGCTGCCGTCATCTGCTGAGCCCGTCAACTTCACAGAGGTGCTGTACAATGATCAGAAAGACCTGAAGGAGGACACTGGGGTGTTCATCTGCAGGGTACCCGGAATTTACCATTTTCATCTCGATGTCGAACTTCAGCACTGCAAGATGACAGTTTGGCTGAAGACGAACCAAACTTCAGTCTTTGAAAAGCGTCAGGTCTCCACCCAGGAGGTCAGAAATCTTTCTGGCACTGTGACCCTGCCTCTGAGCACAGGTGACAAGGCGTGGCTAGAAGCAGCAGTGGAAACCGAGGAGCCTGACCGAGCCAGTGTTACAATCTATTTCTCAGGTTTCCTGGCATAGTTTTGGTCTCTGTATAAGAAAGATAAGCCCCTTGTGATTCTGCTGCCTACAACAAACCAACAAATAAATATTATGCACCATATCTTGGCTTGATTTACTTTCCTCAGCATGGTGGGATTTTATTTAGAATTTTGGTAGATTCTAAATATATAGGTAGGAACAGGTAGGTTTGGTCACAATGGAATTGTGCCTTAAAATTCTGCCTAAGAAATCAAGAAATTATTCCAATTAAATCTCCATTATTGGCTTTGCCATGTGTTAAGGTTCGAGTGTCCCCTCTAAAACTCATATGGAGACTTAATCCCTAATATGAGAAGCGGGGCCTTTAAGAGGAGAATGGATGGGTTAATCTGCTCATGGATTAATAAATGAATGAATGATCATGACAAGGGAACTTGCGGCTTTTCCAGACGAGGAAGAGAGCACATAAGCCACTCAACCCCCTGCCTAAGGGCTCTGCAGAGTCCCCACCCCCGAGAAGGCTCTCAGCAGATGTGGCCCCTCAGTCTTGAACTTCTCAGCCTCCATAACCATAGAATAGATGGCTGTTCCTTTTAAATTACCCAGTTTCAGATATTCTGTTACAAGCAATAGAAAATAGCCTGGGGTATCAAAATTACAAATTAAATGGGAAAATTATATAGTCACTTAAAAGGACAATTAAAAACAGTTGGTAAAATATCAAAACATTAAAACATATTCATGATTTTAAAAAAAACTCTCTAAAAATAAAGAATAGAATGGAATTTTCTTTCTTTTTTTTTAGGGAATTTTCTTAATCTGATAGAACTACTGCCTCAAAATTACCTGTAGAACACATCCCCCAGTAATGAAAGCTTTCATATTACAACCAGGACTAATATTCTCCTATCAAGTCTGTTTAACTTTATACTAGAGATCCCCACCCATGGAATAAGGAAGGAAAAAATGTAAGATATATAAAATTTAAAAGGAATAATCAAAGGTTTCTTATTACATCTGTGTGTGAATTCAAGCCAAAAATAATTTATTTATATATTCTTAATGAGAATTCATTATATATTTTGTATATAAATTCAACTTAGAAATCTAATTGTGTTTTTATTTAGCAGAATCTATTAACTAGAACATGATTCAAAACTATTATCATTTAAGTAGCATTAAAAAATAGCAAATGTATCTATGAATAAATCTAATAAGATTATGAAGGTTATTACAATTTTATTGGATTTCTTGTATTACCGAGGAAAATATGAAATTTTATTTGAATAATTCAAAAAAATAGTTGGGCATGGTGGCTCACATCTGTAACCTAGCATTCTGGGAGGCTGAGGCTGGTGGATAGCTTGAGCTCAGGAGTTTGAGACCAGCCTGAGCAAGAGAGAGACCTTGTCTTTAAAAATAGCTGGGCATTGTGGTGGGCACCTGTAGTTCCAGCTACTTGGGAGGCTGAGGCAAGAGGATCACTTGAGCTCAAGAGTTTGAGGTTGCTGTGAGCTATGACACCATGGCACTCTACCCAGGGTGACAAAGTGAGACTTTGTTTCAAAAAAAAAAAGGAAAACAATTGAAAAAATAAATGAAAAGAAATCCTATTCATGGATTTATTCAAAAATAAATAAGCTAAAGCTGATCTGAAACCTGTGAGCTCAGGCAATCCACCCGCCTCAGCCTCCCAGAGTGCTAAGATTACAGACGTGAGCCACCGTGCCCAGCCTGCCTTTGATTATTTTATCAGGATGTTTTCATGATATTAAAATCGAGAATTATAAATAGCTCTATAAACGTAGGTATGACTAATTGTACTACTATAGATAAACTACAAATGCCATAAAAGTCAGCGTGAAGAAGTTGAGGGTATCAGACTATTTTCTGGCAACACGTCTAAAAGCAGGACCTAGGATTGTGATTCGGAATGAACCTCGTCTGTTTTTGACAATGAGGCTTCGAGCAGTAACTCTAGGGAACAAGTGAGGTAAACTTGGCTGCCTATGGCACTAATGTATTTCTTCTGCCTTGTATTTTCTCCATAATTCCTGTGAATTTCTCCATAATTCCTGGTCCTATGCATGACCATAATTCCTGTGAGATAACTCATACATACATCTTTAATTGGATTTAAAGGAAATTTTATCAGATATCTGTGGCCTGGCCAACATTTCCACACTCTAAAACCATGCTGATGTTTAAACCAAAGATCACTCATTCTGAGCAACAGAGGTCTGATGCTTCTATCTACTCCTTTCTTTCTCTCCCACCATTGTTAGTAAGTGGAAATTAACAGTAGAGTTCTGTTTATTTCCCACGGACGGAGAATGCTATTCCTATCCTCACCTCTTGACCCCCACACACATACACACTCACTCTTAGAAGCCCAAAGTAGGTAGAGTCAGTTTTTTGTTTTATGTAATGTCGTTTCACCCCCATGTAGGGATAAAAGTGTCTTCTAAACATGGTTGAAATATTGAGTGGAGAAATACATACAGATAGGATCTTGGAAGGCATAATGTGCCATGCTAATGTTCTTTATCATTAGCAGAGATTTTTATAATCAGAAACACCTAAAATTTTTGAGAAAAGAAGAACCTCTTTGTTTCCTTAACATTTTTCAAAACAACTCAAAAATGTTGGCAAAACAATACATCTCTCTCTAAATATTTCTGGATATTGTGAATCTCTTTATTGAGAATAGAATGGCTTAAGCAAAGCGTTCAGTATGTTCAGTTTAATTTCCCCTCAATGTTCTCCATCTCATACCATAAATACGCTTACTAAATGAACGAAGGAATGGTTGATCAAGTGCTAAGTTCATAGCACAAGTTCAAATTGAAACTAAGTCAACTTCTAGTAACAACAACAAAATTATAAGCATAATTTTAGCAGTTTAAATAGTCAATGGGCTGGTGACTGTGCTAAGTATTCTTGGCTTTCATTGTTTCAAAAACTATTGAGTACCTAGAATGTGGTAGACCACTGGGAGGTTTCAGAGTTACAATAAAAACCAAAATAAAAGATATAGTTCTTGCTATCATAAAAACATTTAACAGAAGAGGCAGATATTAATCTAAGAATTATAAAAAATATAAAAATAAAGCTATGGACATTTCTATAAAGAGGTAGGGAGATCATGATTTAAGAATGCATAAAAGGGGCTCATGGCCAGTTATTTCTCCCTTAAGAAAGCATTTCTGATTCTGACTGGGCACAAAACCGATGAGGTGTGTGGGGAGAAGTGTTCCAGGCAAAATCAGAGAAATGAATGAGCACAACGGCTTCATAGAAATGGGAACCATAGGATACTTGAAAGACCAAAAATTCAGTGGAGCTGGAACCCAGCAATAAGGAAGGCAGTGGTATTCAAAGATAGAGAAGTGTACAGTAAATAATGTTAATACGTTAATTTTATGGTAAGAAAAATTTGGCATCATAAAATGATTTTAATCAGGCATTAACATGATTAAATTTTCTTTTGTACAATGAGCACTGGGTGCGTAATCTAATCAGAAGAGGCATAGAATGGAGACTTGGCTCATGCGTTAGCACAGATAACAGATGAAAATGATGATATTGCTTGTGGGAATGTAGAAATGTGAATTGATTTTCTGGTGACAGATTTAGGGAGGTGGCAAGGAGGCGATAGGTTGCAAAAGCCGTGGACAATATGCTGCTTATGGGAAAAGAAAGCAATGGAAATGAATGAAGTGTTGGAAGAGGAAGCAGCCAAGCTCAGTGTGGAGTTCAGTGAGAAACCAACCCTGTGGAAGCCTCTGGGTCTGTCACTAATTTCTGAGCTCCTTTTGCAATATATTGCTGAGCTGTGACGAGCTCTCAGGTCTGAGTATGAACTAGATTAGGACTGTCAAGGTTAGAAATTGTTTCTTAGCTCATTGTAGATGTTTGATAGATGCAAAGAGAACAGAGGAAAAAGAAATGAGAGTAGATGGAAGAAGAAGCATCTAGAGAAGAAAGAAAAACAGGTATATTAGGGTTGCATTGGGCTGCATGCAACAGAAACCAGATTGCAGTGGCTTAATAAAATCAGCAGTGATTATTCTCAGATATAGGGCTGGAGTATCTGTGCAAGGATGTTATTAAGAGCTGGTCTGCTTCTATCCTTCTCTCTCAGGCGGCTTAGTGCCCCTGTCCTTGGTCCATATTTGAAAAATGGCTGCTTCCACCCCAGGCTTCTTCCGGAGGGTTGCTGGGGGTGGGGTGGGGTGGAAAATGGAGAAAGAAGAGCAGAGGAAAAAATTCAAAAAATACCAGTCACTTGAGATTTTGCCTTTTAAAGACTCAACTGGGAAGCTCCACCTGACTACATTGCATTCTCCAGAAAGTGTCACATGTCCCTCTGCCCCCCAACCCACCCTGGTCGACAGAGAACCTGAAGATTGTGTGCCTTAACTGGGTCAACTGACAACTCGAAGTTAGAATGTTGTTTGAAATACCCTGAAACATGGACTGGGCAAATGACTCCTGGGAGGGCAACTAGCAGTGTCTGATGATTAGTAAGCAATAGAAATTGTTCCCCCCATATGTGTCCTTTGCTCAAACAATGGTCAAAATATGCATTGGATAGTATGTATTCACAACTTAGCGCCTTTAAGGTAATTTTCTGTCTCTCAGAAATATTTGCTTTCCTAGCAGTATTATACATTGCAGAATTAAAGTGATATTGGGGGCTATGATCAAGATTTTTTTAAATCTTTATTTTTTAATAAAGTCAAATGCACACAGATCATGAATACATTTATGCATATGTAGGGTACAATGTGGTGTTGTTTTTTTTTTTGTTTGTTTATACAATCTGATATGGTTACATCAAACCAATCAACATAGCTTTTGCTTCACTCTGGAGAAAACTGTTCAGATCTAATGAAGACAAAGAATGAGAACTTGGTTTTTTCAGCTTCAAGCAGCAGAAAGCTTCCAATCAGATCTGATTTCCTGACAGATCTTCCCCCAGAAGTTCCTAGGATACAGCAGATACTGGAAATTTGATGGGCTTTTAATACGAAATTGTTGATGAGTTAATGGATTATTAATTTTTGCTGCTTTTAGAGTTATATTCATATTGAAAAAATGGGGATATTCTTAAGTTTATTCAGTGAGATTAAAGAAAAATATAATGTAGGGGGAGTTATGCTCTAAAATTTAAGTCCCCTTGAGGATTTTAAGTGTGCTGTTACTCCTCAGCCAGTATAATTTCCATAAAGCAAATACCCAAAGAACACACTTTGAATCGATCCTTTCTCATTCTCTTCTGTGCCTAGCTTGGATTCTAGCCAAACCCTGTCGCCTGCCGTCAGCTGCAAGATGACAGTTCCAGAAACATGCCTGTACACGTCTTCAGCTCCAGCTTCCTTCTCCAGGACCTGAATGCCATTCTTCATTAGCCCTAACTTTACAGCGTGCTGAAACAGCTCAATATCAAAGCCGAAGTGGTATACACCAGGGATGACACAGGTAAACACCCCCATGGTAAGATTGAAGTGGCTCTGATGGTTATGCAGAACTTCCTTGAAGACAATGGGCTGGAACGGGGCTGAGAAGACATCCCTCAGCTTCACTGCGAAGGCTGATTTGAGTGGGGAAGGACAATTTTTAATATGTCCTGGAGCTCCAGGTGACCCTGGTGGTCCTGGAACACCTGGGCGTCCTAAACACCAAGGTAAACAGAAAGAGAAGAGAGGAAACATGAAGTTCATGCATTTCACAATTTGTGAATTTCTTTGCACTCTAATTCTTCTTACTAACATTCATCTTAAGCATTATTTTTCTCAGGAAGTCTTTTTTTTTTTTTTTTTTAGAGACAGAGTCTCACTTTGTCACCCTTGGTAGAGTACTGTGGTGTCACAGCTTACAGCAACTTCCAGCTCTTGGGCTTAGGTGATTCTCTTGCCTCAGCCTCCTGAGTAGCTGGGACTACAGGTGCCCGCCACAATGCCCGGCTATTTTTTTGCAGTTTGGCCAGGCTGGGTTCAAACCCACCACCCTTGGTATATGGGACTGGTATCCTACTCACTGAGCCACAGGCACTGCCCTCTCTGAGGAAGTCTTTCTTCCCCCTATGCCATCATAATAGCAGAATCCAGTGTTTGGTCTGACCATAGCGGTTATCATACTGAGTAGTAATCTCTCCCCTAAGTACCTGTTTTGTTTCCATAAATAGAAAGTGAGCAGATACTTTTATTCATTTTATTCCTAAGGTGCCACCACACAATGTCCAGCCTAGAGTGGTACTCATGATGTATTCATGTTCTAGAGCAATGACCATGCACTTACTTAAACTGCTTTCGTAAGTTAATTTCCTGTATTCTCGTATGATTTTATTATCATATGAGAATATGATAACATCAAAGAAGGACTATTCTTAAGAAACGTCAACCCAGGGAAGTCTAAGAATTGCATTATGTCCAAGATAGAAGGATTGTTAGAGCATGTTTGATCACTGGACGGTGTTAGAATCAGCTGCAGAGCATGTGAATAATCCAGAGTCCTGACTAATAATTCTGTGACCTTCTAAATCAGAAATTTGGGGGGTTGACTTCAGGAACCTACATATTTATAAAAAAAGTCTGCAGATGACTTTGGTGCACATCCAGATTTTCAAATCACAGATGAAGGATCAAATGGTAAGTAGTTCCAGAGCAATTTTTCAGAGCCACGGAAGATCTCTTAATATTGTATGCTCAGCTGATTTTGGTAAATGTCATTCCCTGGATTGGTAGGAAAGGTACAAGCATTCCAGTGTTAATAGTGGATGAGCACACAAATCAATAAATGGGATTCACCACCTAAACGGAAGCAATAATAAAGACCATATATAGAATCATCTCCATAGATGCAGAAAAAACATTAAATAAAATTCAGCACACTTCCATGATAAAAAACACTCAACAAACTAGGCATAGAAGGAACATACTTCAAAATTATAAAAGCTATATATGACAAACCCATAGCCAAGATCATACTGAATGGGGAAAAGTTGAAAAAAATTCCCCCTAAGAACTGGAAGAAAATAAGGGTACCTATTGTCGCCTCTTCTATTCAACATAATACTAGAAGTCCTACTCAAAGCAATCAGGCAAGAGAAAGAAAGGGCATCCAACTCCGGGAAGAGGTGGTCAAATCCTCCCTGCTTGCCAACAATATAATCTTGTATGGAGAACACCCTGAAGACTCCAACAAAAGGCCCTTAGACTTGATAAATAAGTTCAGCAAAGTCTCAGGTTATAAAGTCAATGTACACAAATTAGTAGCATTTCTACATACTAACAACAGTGAAATTGAGAGTCAAACCAAGAACTCAACATTGTTTATAATAGCTACAAAGAAAATAAAATTCATGGTAACATATTTAACTAAGGAAATGAAATATTTCTACCAGCAGAATTGCAAAACACGAAATAAATTACAGATGACACACACAAATGGAAAAATATGCTCTGGCCCGGCACCTGTGGCTCAAGCGGCTAAGGCGCCAGCCACATACACCTAAGGTGGCGGGTTTGAATCCCCAGCCCGGGCCCGCCAAAACAACAATGATGGCTGCAACCAAAAATGGCCGGGCATTGTGGCGGGCACCTGTAGTCCCAGCTACTTGGGAGGCTGAGGCAGGAGACTCACTTGAGCCCAGGAGTTGGAGGTTGCTGTGAGCTGTAATGCCATGGCACTCTACCCAGGGGGACAGCTTGAGGCTCTGTCTCAAAAAGAAAAATATGCTCAAGATTGGTAGATTCACCATCATTAAAATGTCCATATTGCCCAAAGTGGTTTACAAATTCAATGCAATTCCCATGAAAATACCAGTGTCGTATTTCACAAATCTAGAAAAAAATCACCCTCGACTGTGTTTGGAACCCCCAAAGAGCCAGAATAGCCAAAGCAATATAAGTAAAAAGAACAAATCTGGAAGAATCACATTACCTGACTTCAAATTATACTACAAGGCTATCGTTATGAAAACAACCTGGGAGTGGCATAAAAATAGAGAGAGAGAGCAATGGAGCTGCATAGAGAACCCAGATAAAACAATAGGGTTATGACCAACTGATCTTCCACCAAAGCAACCGAGAACGTACAGTGGAGAAAGAATGCCTCATTCAACAAGTAGTGTTGAGAAAATTGGATGGCGACATGTACAATTCAACAGGATCCCTGTCTCTTGCCATGCACAAAAATTATTTCAAGATGGATTAAGGACTTACATGCAAGCCATGAAACCTTAAAGATTCTAGAAGAATACATAGGAAAATTATTCTAGACATAGGCTGAGGTAAAGAATTTAAGACCCTAAAGGTAAATATAGCAACAATAAAAATAAATGAATGAGACTTAAACTATAAAGCTTCTGCATAGCAAAAGAAATAACCAACAGAGTAAACAGACAACTTACAGGATGGGAGAAAGGAGTCAAACTATACATCCAACTAAGGGCTGATATCCAGAATCTACGAAGAACTCACACAAATCAGAGAGAAAGAAACTAAACAACTAGACAGACCACCCCATTACCAAGTGGGCAAAAGGCATGAAAAGAATATTTTCAAAAGAAGATAAACAAGTGGCCAAGAAACATATATTCAGCCTCACTAATCATCAGGGCAATGCGTATTAAAACCACAATAAGATCTACCTTACCCCTGTCAGAATGGACATTAGTAAAAGGTCCAAAAAACGTGAGACGCTGGCATGGACGCAGAGAACAAGGGACACTTAAGTGCTGTGGGTGGAACTGAAAATTAGTAGAAAACTGTGGAATACAGTATGGAAATGCCTCAGAGAAACACATGTAGACTTAGCATTTGACCCAACAATCCCACTCCTGGGTGTCTACCCCGAGGAAGCAGACAGCTGCACTCTGATGTTTAGCGTGGCACAATTCACAGGTGCAAAGACACGGAATCCGATTCGTGTGCAGATAAAGGAAATGTGAACGTGTGGCATCTATCACCAGCACTGCCTGGCCGTGGAAGAGAGTGAAATAATGTCGTTTGTAGCAACCTGGCTGGAACTGGAGGCCATTATCCTAAGTGAAGTAGCTCAGGCTAGGGAAACACATGCCACATCTTCTCGCTCCTAAGTGAGAGCTAAACGGTGGGGACAGTTGACCACAAAGAGGTGTGAATGACATTGGAAACTGAGAATGGGAGAGAGTTAGGAATAAAAACTTAGCTATTGGGCTCAAGAAACACTACCTGGTGATGGGCACGCTAAAAGCTCTCACTTCAGCATTGTACAATGAATCCTTGTAATGAAAGCATCTGTACCCTCTTAATAGTGTGACATTTAAAAAAAACAAGTAATATATCTTGTACTTTAAAAAATGGATTCTTCCTAAATGTAGAATATAAATGTCTTAACACAGTAACTAAGAAAATGCCACGAAGGCTATGTTAACCAGTTTGATGAAAATATTTCTAATCGTATATAAAAGCAGCACGCTGTACCCCATGACTGTATTAATGTACACAGCTAGGATTCAATCAAACAAAAAAAGGAAAAGAAAATGGATGCGTACAGAGCAACTCTGCCACTTTGTTTTTGTTTTTTATTTCAGATTAATTGGAGGGTATACCTCTTTGGGGCGGGACAGAACTACAATAGGGACTAGATCTAACAAATGGAAATGCTGCCACCTAACTCTGCCACTTTGATGGGTATGCCGATTTAAATGCTAGCTCAGCTATCACAGATTAGTTAGATTAGTTATAGAGTCATCAAATGGTGGCTTCTTCAGGACCCATCCCTGACGTTCTTCTGGGATAAAATCTCAGCACATATTTTAAGGTCCTAGGCTCTTATGTAGCGTTCCACCCAAGAATTCTCATCCGAGTCACTACTGACTATCAGCAACACCTGGATATTTTTTACTGAGTTTATGGATATTTCAAAGAAGGAAGAATGATCAATGACATTTGAAAACAAACGTTCTCTCACCTCTGGCGCCAGCTACCCCTGGAAAACCTGGGGGCCCTGGCATTCCTGGGAGTCCACGAGAATCACAGGGCCTTGACCCTTCTGAAGAGCTGGCATCAGCCACAGCTGTGACAATGGTCAGAGATAAAATCCAGACATCTACAACAGGAGATCAATGGATAAAAACTGACATTAACTGCAAGAGAGGGGAGCCCTTTTTGAAGGATTATGTTCTCAACACTGGCAGAGAGAAGCAAGTTCTTGCAATCCCGAGAAGTAAGTGTGCGTCCAGTCATGGCCATGCCCTCCCCCACCTTCCTTTCTCATGGGGCACAGAGCCGACCAAGGCCATCTGTAGTCCCCTTGTGTTTGATGTTACTTGCTAAAACCTGAACTTCTGCTGACCTAGGGGTTTTCTTGAGGACACCCTGCCTCCTGACTCTTTAACTATTGTAAGTGGCATTATCCTTATAATCCCTAGGCACCTGTAGCCCACACAATTAAGCATGGAGTTTCCTCGAAAAACAAGCCAGTTGGGCATCTCACCTACTACTCACCACTTACTAAATTCTTCCCTCCTATGTTCAGAGGAATTTCTTTTCATTCTTAAAAAACAGAGATGGTCCAGTATAAGAAACCCTCAAACTTCTTCCCAGGGCGCCCTGCACACTCTCCGCTGCCTCATCTCTCCATCTGCTTCTCACGCTGCGTTTTTTACACTGGAGCATGATAAAACCACACGCTGTCCGTGTCTGTTCCCTTAAAAGGAACGATGAGCCACTTGAGGGGACAGGGTGGTTATGAAACCCATGCCGTAGTCTATAATGTGTAAAGTTTGATTCTCGTATTTCTGAGTGGCTGGAAAGAGAACCTGTTATGTGAATGTGCCTATGAAAACAAATTCATGTTAAACCACGGAATGGCTTTCAATTGTTTTTGAGCAAAAGACCTTCCCTTCAGTCTGAAATATTGTTACACAAATATGGTCACTGCAAATGTTGAAAATGATGGCTTTGACGTGGGGGGTGGGCGTTGGTTGTTTTTTCTTCCCCTATAGTAGTAAAAGCATATTATACTTCATCTTTAAATGCCACGCAGGGTTGTGGAAAATACATTCTGCACTCCAGTGACAACTTGGTATATAGGCTGTATGCTGTAGTGAAAAGCGCCAGACCTGGAGCATCTTCCTTAGTTTCTCTAAGAGTCCATTTCCAACCTGTTATGGGGCATGATGACAGCTATCCAAGAGGGTTGTGGGAGCAATTCATAATTTACCTAAAACATCGAGTGCCATGCTGAACATCAGAGAGACTCTCAGTAATTGAAAGGATGCATTTTCAAGAATTTCACATTTACCGAGCAACGTAATTATAACACAGATGTGAGAGGAGAATCTGGGAAGGCAGTACCTCTATGTATGGGTTACCGGCACATTCAGGCGCTGTAGGAACTTGTCCCCGAGGACTGCAATCCATCCTGACATTAATGAAAGAACTTTGGCAGGCATACATGCCCACGTGCTAATCTTTTAATTGGCAACAATATCTTTTTGATGAAAAAGCATGAAGCTATACTTTGTACGTCATAAAAATGTTGTCACTTTAAATAATGTTTAGTAAATTTAGTGATTCTCAGTAAACTTTCAGAGTTGCACACCCACCCCTGCAATGCAATTGTAGAATATTTCTGTCACCCCAAGCAACCTCACAGGCCAATGTGCAGTCTTCCCTGGCTCCCAGTTACAGCTGCAGGTGGTCCTACTCTCTTCTGCAGGTGAGCCGACCATTCATAACTTTCTGGGCAGCAAAGTTGATCCTGATTTATGATTTTTCTGGTGCTTTATGTAAAGGCCAAGAGGAGGAATCACTCTTTTTTTTAAACATGTTTTCCAGAATTAGGCAGAGAGTGGGAAGTTCAAATCCTAGTTCTGCTGCTTTCTTCCTGGGAGATTAGGCCCAGGCCTCCTGCCCTGCACTTTGCATCCTGGCTAGAGGGGTGCAGTAAAGGCTGGGAGGCTGTGTGAGCCTTAACGAAGTGATGTCTGGAAAGGGTCTGGCACTGTGTCCAGACATGCGGAGGTTTCTAAGTGTATGTTACTGCCCCTCCCGGCCCCCTTAGCGACTAGGCATGTGGTCCTGCTGGTTTCTGAACGGGAAAGTCTTCCTACCAACATGTTCCTGATCTCACATGTCTGTCAATGTCATTTTAAGGTGGGTCTAAAAAGTGTCTGGTTTCGGGACATTTTTTCTTCATGTCTGACTTTGATGACCACTCTGTAGAGAAGAACTTGGTATTGTATTCTTCATTATAGAGAAAGGGAGACAGAAAGCTGGCAAGGGACAGTGGGTGGACTCCCCCAAGGTCAGCCTACTACTTGAGGGACCAAGTATGAAACTTACTTTCTGGATTTTTAGCTGTTTTTTTTTCTTTTCTCTAATAATATTGGAGGGTCTGAGACTGAGTGGAGATGTAGTATAGACTCATGAACTCTCCCTCCTGTTAACTGTCCCCAGCATGAGCCCACAAAGTCCACATACAATATGTCATTTGAGATACGTTCCCACTAAACCACGACAGACACCATTCGATTTTGTTCAGCACGAACATTAAGCTCAGCATATTCTTTGGGGCCACAGCAACTATAACATAAAGCCTCACACCGAATCTGTTGTATTTGTTGAGGGAAGTGGATTGCGCCACTTAACATCCTCTATGTAAAAACTTTTGGCGTAGACTTCCCTCTGATGTAAGGTCAAGTTTCTCAAGGATTTGCTGTATCTTTCTTTGATGCGGAATGTTAATTACATGAGTTGCTCCATTTCCCCTTTGTGACTTAAGTGTTTTTCACCACTAAGAATCTCAGATCCAAATTTTTAGGTAAAATTTTAAATTGACCTAGGTACCAAGCAGCACCAAACTCCATTTTAACCTATCAGTCCATTCATAGGTACTTCTGTTGCTTTCTCGTTTTATTTTTTTTTCCACTTGTAATGTTTACCTAGTAGTATTTTTCTAATTTATTTTATGATTGCACATTAGGGACCTTGAATACTGCATAGAAAAAGGTGAGAGGGAGAAAGAGAGAGTGATGACAGATAGTAAGCACACACGGGAGTGAAAAATGTACTGATATTTTGCTTTTGTTGTGAAGACTGAAAACTTCACACTGAAATTAGTATGTACAGTGAGCACTGCAGAAGTTAGATTTTAATTCCATGTAATTAGATAAATACCATGTTTCCCTGAAAATAAGACCTACCTAAAAAATAAGCCCTAGCAGGATTTCTATGCATTTGTTAAATATAAGCCCTACCCCGATAATAAGACCTAGTGATGGGCATGGCCATGCATTTCGGCGTAGAGAATAAGACATCCCCTGAAAATAAGCCCCAGTGTGTCTTCTTGAGAAAAAATAAATATAAGACAGTGTCTTATTTTAGGGGAACCATGGTAGTGAAAGAAGTCAGAGAATTTTCAGAGGAGAATTAAAGCATGTGGGGCAAAGACAGAAGAGACAGAAGGAATCAGAGAGGAGGAAGTGACGGAGAAAAAATGACAGGGACACCCAGAAGGGCAGAGAGAGAGAAAAAGAGGGGCCCACACAGAGATGAGGGCAAAGAAGGGACAGATTTTGCCAGTGTTGGGAGATTTGACTGCAAGGATCAGAATATTAACATCGGTTTATATATCAGAGCACAAACACAAGATACACGTTCTATCGTCCAACGTGTGAAAGTTTTGCATCCTCTGCCTTTTTGTTTTTTTAAATGTCCTCATTCCTCTGTACTCATTTGCATACAATGAAATGGGTTACATATTGGCAACATAAGGTTCTGCCCACCTTGAATTTCTATTTTCACTTCCCCCTATCGGCCACATAGGATTGAAGAGGCTGAAATGAAGTCTATCATTGTGTGCAGTGTTACAGGAACACTGTATGCCAAGATTGTAGTGATAATAAAACGAATGTCAAGCGACGGCAGGGGAAAGCACGGTGGGCAGTTCTCCGTATCCAATGTGGAGTCCATTTCTTTGCCATCAGTGCTGATCACACTTACCTATCATTCCCATGGCGAGACCTCTTTCTCCTGCCTACGCCTCCTGATACATAGATGGGAGTTTTGTAAGAAGATGCCTCCAGTTGTTCTGTTCTTCTCTCACCTCTTGTCTTTCAAAGCCATAGAGAGAAGTTATACTAGATCAATTTCTTTTAACATTTAATTTTTTGCTCTTGTCTGAGGCCAGTGACCTTAGTTGGTGTTTAACTAGGGTGAAGTTGTGCCAGTGGTTGTTCGAACATAAGCTCTATTTGTTATTTCTCCTTTTCTCCCCTTGATGATCTTCTTTTGCTCTATTGGCTTATAATGTAGGTGGGTCCCACCTGTGACCTTAGGGAAACTTGTGGCCCTCCTGGTCTTCAAGTGCTGCCTTTTGACTGAATCCAAATTTTACATAACACATTCTTTCACTAAAAGGGGTACAGCAGAGAAAGATGACGTGTTTCTTGCTTTTTGGTGCCAAAAAAGAAAGAATAATCTTAAAATAAGAAGGCCTCAGGTTCCCCACCCTTATATCACATTACATTGTTATTTTTCTTGTTTGTAATAACTATCTTTTAAAACAAAGTGATATTGTTCTGGCCAGGTACAGTGGCCCACACCTATAATATTAGCACTCTGGGAAGCTGAGGTGGGAGGATCCTTTGACTTTAGGAGTTCGAGATTAGCCTGAGCAAGAGCAAGACTCTGTCTCTACTTAAATAAAAGAAAAATGAAAAATTATCCAGACATTATGGTGGGTGCCTGTCATCCCAGTTACGCAGGGGAGTGAGGCAGGATGATTGCTTAAACTCAGGAGTCTGAGGTTGCTGTGAGCTAGGTTGATGCCACGGCACTCTAGCCTGGGTGACAGAGTAAGACCATCTCGGAAAAAAAAAAAAAAAAAGAACTATTGTCCCATAAATTTACTATTTCTGATATTCTTAACTGCTTCATGTTTCCTTTTCGAGCTGATTTTTCAAGATTATTTTTACTGAACATACAAATCTAGGTGGGCAGTTAACCTCGTTTTAATCCAAATACTATGAGAAAATGTCTGTGCCCATTTCACTAATTTTAAATATAAACATGTGTATATACTCAGTGGCCCTGAAATTTCACTCTGAAGCATATACTAGAAAAAAATGAGCATATTTATGTTATCAAAGACATATACGATAATGTGCGCAGCAGCCTCATTCAGAGTAACCCACGCCTGAAGGCCCCTCAGCCACCAACAGAAGAGAGGATAAACTAAGATGATTTAATCACACCATGAAATGCTCCACGTTTCTATGGAAAGAAATACTACACGGTGAATTTCACAAACATTATGAAGAGTGGGGAAAAGAGCAAAGATTTGATATTTGATTATGTCATTCATGTAAAGTTCAAGAGGAGGCAGAAGTAACTGAGAGTGCTGAAAATCTACATAATAGATTAAATGCCACGGATGTGGTTATAGCCTGAAAGGGCACAGGGAAGCTTCTGGAGTGACAGAAATGTTCTATGATTAATCTGGGACCATGCCTGTGTCCATGGACAAAAATGAATCAAGCTATTCACTTTAGATTTGAGCATTGAATGGATTTAATTTATAACAATGGATTTAATTTAAACAATAATCTAGTCCTAAGTAGGATAAGGCTGGCAAGGTGCTCTCAGAAGTCTGAAAGGACTTTGGTCACTTCTGACCTCTTGCTTCATCATGGAATATGTGGCTTTTTTTTTTTATTTTGACTTTATTCAAATTAATACAAAGGTACAATATTTAGGTTACATTGTTCTAACTTGCAGGGTAAAGTTCCATTTCTAGAAGAGCCCCTCACCCAGGGGACGTGTGATACACCCTCACAATGTGCACATTAGGTGAGATCCTGCTTCATGCCCTCCCTCCTTCTGCCAAACGTCCTCCCCCTCTCCGTTCCTCCTCCCCGTTCCCCCTCCCACTTCCCTCTACCACCGAACTGGATCACAATAGTGTTTTATTGTTCTTATGAGCATGTAACTCTTTATATATTGATTTCATATTAGTATGGAGTACATTGATATTTATTTTTCCATTCTTGAGATACTTTACTAAGAAGAATGTATTTCAAATGCATCCAGGTAAATGTAAAAAGTGTAATGTCTCCATCTTTTTTAATTTAATACATATACCCCAGTTGGTTGATCCATTCATGAGTTGATGGGCACTTAGGTTGCTTGCACAACTTGGCAATTATGAACTGCACTGCAATAAATATTCCAGTGCAAATGTATTTGTGGTAAAATGTTTTTTGTTTTTCTGGGTAGATACCTAGTAGTGGGATTGCAGGGTCAAATGGAAGATCTCCTTTTAGATCTTCACGAATTCTCCATACTTCTCTCCAAATAGGCTGTATTAGTTTGCAATCCCACCAGCAGTGAAGAAGTGGAGTATGTGGCTTTGGTTTGAGGCCTGCAAGATGTATGTTGTAGCTCCCAGAAATGTATCTGCATTCTTCAAAGGAAGAAATGCAGAGAGAAAAAGGCAGAGGCCAGAGGCCAAAGACACAGCCGGTTGAGTCTTTCCCCTCTGCACAAGTATCTGGAAAGCACTAGGAACTTAACTGCGCTGGAATGCTGGTGTTTCTGATGGCCACTCCGAATGTCAGAGAGGCCAGTGTAATCTCAACTGGGCTCACTGAGCCAACTCAAACAAATTAGCTAGACTAGAAATAGAAGAATAGAAATGAGGTTGGAGAAAGGGAGCATGGGTATTGGGTCGGTAACTAGTGGTCTGAAGTAAATTAAGAATCTAAAAACTATGAAGCCGTAGAAATTCTCTCACTTCTGTCTCTGGACCTGTGCCCATGTGTACCGCCAGCTACCCAATTAATTGCTTTAGGGAAATCATCCAGTAGAAACCCTTTCATTTAGTCTTTGTCCCAGGATATTTACTTTTATGTCCTTATACTTAATTCCCAAGGCAGGTTAGGGAGGGGATGTTTGAGCAAGACTTTTGTCCCTAAAAGAGGAAAAAGAAAAGGCTTAATAAAGGGACTGAATGCGAGTCTGCAAGGTGTTGTGAACAGCAAACTGTCTGGGCAGCTTGCTATCTTCATTCTGCTTTATTGTTAGTTTTGGTTTTTCACCACACTTTTACCACCCAGCTTCTTACATTTTGAGAATGACAGATAAGGAATTGTTGACACATTAATCAGCAGTCTTCATTGGTTTTAGTAATTGCTAATACAGTCATTATGCCCAGTTCTCAGCCCTTGCCAACCTTGTGAGCTGGAGATACTGAGAGGAATGGAAACTCTTCTCTTCTATTCAGTGGTGCTTGACGATAAGGGGTGTGCTATTGGTTCTAGCTTCTAAATTTCCACTGAGCAAATGCCCGTAGAACATGGTTGGTGTATTCCCTTTCTCAGACTCTGCTTCATCCAGCTTGGACTCCAGCCAGACCTTATCCCCTTTCTCCAGCTGCAAGATGCAACTTCCTGAAACGTGCTCGTGGCCGTCCCGGGCCTCCCCTCGTTTGTCCCTGACCTGGATGCCGTTCCTCATGAGACCCACTTTCACGGCATTCTGAAACAGTGCAATGTCAAAACCGAAGTGGTATGTACCAGGCACGGTGCAGGTGAACACTCCTGTGGCCAGGTCAAAGTGGCCCTGATGGTTGTAAAAAGCCTCCTGGAAGAGAAGGGGCTGGGAGGGGCCTGGGAAAGGCCCAGCCCTCTTTACGGAAAAGGCAGATTGTGGTAGGGGTGGGCACTTCTTAACAACTCCAGGTGGCCCATGTAGTCCTGGCAGTCCTGGTAAACCTGAGAGTCCTAGATTACAAAATAAACAGAAAATAAATAGAATCATTTAATTTCAAGTTCTTCTGTATTTCATGGCACATGGATTGGTCCCTCCTTCCTGCCCTTCTCCCCCTTCTCATTGACTTTCCCTTCACCTGTCAGGGCCCAAGTGAAGCATCACTGCCTCCGAGAAGCCCTTCTTTTCTACTCCAAACTTGGAAACATTTTATTTCTTTGCCATGGAATACCACATCTTGTGCTTACTGTCACTGTAGCTACAAAGAATTACCACAAAGAATTGTAATCTCTCTCTCATGGCTACATGGGGAGCCGAGGTCTTATTCAGTTTTGTTTCCAAGTGTCATTCTCAGGATCGACTTTAAAATGAGCATTCGATGTCTATTCAGCGAAGGAATAATCAAATGAATCAACATATGAATTGATCTTCAGGCATCCTCCTCCTTATCTTGTCTTTCTGTAAAGCTGAGCTGTCACTATTGAGAAGAAGTTACCTAGTCAAATCCAGGCAGAAGGCCATGGGAGTTTTAAGCAGTGGTGTCGAACTTGCCACCATGTTGATTAAAACCATTTGGGGATCCCCCATCTCTATCCTGCCACCTAGTTTCTCAGAGCCAGGCTATGCTGTGGCTCTTTAGAATCTGAATCTCTGAAAATGGAAATTAGGAACCAACACGTTTAACCAGTCCATAGGTGATTCTGCCACCAGATGTGAAAATCATTGCCTTAGAGGTTCAATGGAAGTTCAGAGCTGATGGGATCTGAGCAGAGCCCAGCACATGTCTCACCAGGATGACAAGAGAACGAGAGGCCAACGTGCCTGCTGACCCCAGATGCCTGCAGTACCGTCACCACGTGCACCTGCACTTACATCTGACCGTGTGACAGATAGGAGCATGCTTTACCTTGACGCAGAGCTGCAGGCTCAAGCCTGTCCGCACTACACGTCAAATGTGTCCCAAAACCTCTTCTAATATACAGATTATATTGGGACTCCACAGCTGTAATAGTAGATGAATAGTAGGATTCAGGGGGTTGAGAAAAAGAGACCGTGGTCATTTGCTACCAAGAAATGGCTTATCTCAGTGATCCATGTTCTCATCAGGTCACCTGGAAGATTTCACTAAGTCTACGAACATTTCAACCAAAGAGAAATTATGAAAGGCTAATGGAGGAAATGGGTTTTATTTTTCACCTGGTGCACCAGGTATCCCTGGAGGACCCCTAGGCCCTGGAGGTCCTGGGGGTCCTTGAGGTCCACATGGCTCAGGATCTTCCAAAGACTTGACATCAGCCACAAGTGGGGGGACAAATACGGCCAAAATCCAGAAAGCTGAAGTGGAAGGAAATGGATAACATTACGATTAGGTTAGAGATGGATTGGTTTCCAGCTTTGCCAAGTAGCAGCACATTTTTACAACTCTAAAAAAATCAATGTTATTCTAATCTGTGGTTCGTAAAATACCACATGTATAAGCTAAAAGTATTAGTGCTATAACTTGTGCAGAGAAGGTTATAAGGCACTTTGAGGTGAGATGCTTTCATACTGGGCACAAAAATATTCAAGAAAATCAACTAATCCTGGTTTGGCGCCCAAGCACAGTGGTTAAGACGCCAGCCAGATATACTGAGGGTGGCTGGTTCGAACTCAGCCTGGGCCAACTAAACAGCAATGACAACTGCAACAAAAAATACCCAGGCGTTGTGATGGGTGCCTCTAGTCCCAGCTACTTAGGAGGCTGAAGCAAGAGAATCGCTTAAGCCCAGGAGTTTGAGGTTGCTGTGAGCTGTGACGCTATGGCACTCTACCCAGGGTGACATAGTGAGACTGTCTCAAAAGGAAAAATAAAATCAACTAATCCATCCTGCTTGAAAACAATGCTGATTTCTCCAACTCATGCCAATTCTAGAGGTTGTTTTATGGGACACCTGCTATCTGTTTATAAGTTATCTTTAAATAATTGGTTTGAGAAAGCTGGTTCCTATGATTCTTAACACCTGCTTTGCCCATGTCTCACTCTGTCTGTGTGACGATGTCAGATAGATGATGTCAGAATGCAGATAGAACATGTGTATCGTGTGTGTCATATTTCTTTGATCTTGATGGTCAATGAAGCAATAAATACCAAACACTGAACCATCCAGCTACTCTTTTCTGCTACCCTTAGGGTTATATTTAGCACAGTGGCCCTCATTTCACTCTGAGGTGTCAAGCCAGTAAGAAGAATATACGTACATATGTGCACTTCATGTACTTGTTATATTGGACCCTTTGCAGGATAAAAGATCCTTGAGGATGGCACTCTCTAAGCCTTCAATAATCGACCATTTACAGATTACAAATACAGGCAACAAGTAGAGAAATTTGTCTCAAGAAACACAAATCCTCTTCAACATGATCAGTTACACACTTGAAAGTAAAGTGCTTTTATGAGCCAGTAATCGTATTTTGTAGAACATGCCCTCAAATTCAAGTAAGCCATCAATCACTTTCTTGGGCATAAAATCTGGCCTCGATTTCTGATTCATCTGATATCCTTTCAAAGCTGAAGGGACGTTAAGAAAGGGAAGTTGAAAGATGATGGACAGGGATATTGAGAAGAACATAGAGAAAGAGTGAATAGACAGAAAACCAAATCAACGGGAGTAAACAGTCAACACAGGGATAGTCTGTGAAACATCTGGGGATTAAATCAGGACAAAGTTAAGCAGAAGCAGAGCCAGACACCCAGAAGAGAAACTTAACTTGTAGAGAAATGTAGTGTAGTACGGGTTCACTTTGACTACCAGCATCTTCATTTTGAATTTCAATATATCATTGAAATAAAAATAGCAGGTTTTATTACACGTACTTTATTTGTAATGACCCTGATTTAATTTTAATGACTTGGCATTAATTCTGTATGGAAGGCAAGGGGGTTTTGGCCCCCAGGTTGGCCCCTACTCCTTCTAATTCCTCCTATTGGCAATATCCAGCTGGCCAAGTCCAACAGGGATCTTTCTTTTTGTCCACAGTATGAGTAATTGCTTTCCAGGGTTGTTCTAACAAAAAAGAGAAAGAAATCACTTCCAGGGAGAATAAAGTGCTTTGGAGAGTGCTCTGTACTAAGGCAGGGGATTCATTTTATGACAACAGACATGAGTAAGAAAACTTACCTGCAATGAGCATGGAGAGGGCTCTTCCTCCTTCCCTGGGCATTGAAGCTCCTTCAGTGACCACCTTCTCACCTGTCCTATTCCTGACTTATCTGCTTGATGTTTGAAACATGGCAATAGATGGTTTAATAAATTGATTTCTCTCAATATTTGATGTTCTGGCCTCTTGAGGCTGAAGTCAGGGTTACTTTTTAATCCACATAGTTAAATATTCCAGCATGGAACGCTGGCAAGGTGACATACCACCCACTTCCTGTAGCCACTTCCTGGGCCCCTTGGGCCTATGAACTTTGTTTTGGCTGTTTCTTCTCTCCTCATCATTTCATCAGCATACCCCTGTGAGTTCTATAAACAGGAGAGGTGGACTATCCTTCATTGCACATACCAATTCCATTGCATCAGATACCTGTAATCTGAATGTATAATTCTGTAGGCTGGGAAAAGGAGGCCCAGGGAGAGGAAGCGACTTAATTGAGCAAATCAGGACAATAAAGGTTTTCCTCCTACTTTACAGCCCAGGAATGCTTCTCCTCTGCCTCTCCCTTGCTGCTACGTTCTGCCAACTTGCTGCTTCGCTATAACAATCCCTCTGCTGACATCCTTGTACGTGCCAGCCAGGTTCTCTGAGCTTGCCAAGGTGAACCTCAGCTAATCAAAATGGAATTCATTGAGGGTGAGGCTTTGCAAATGGTTGAATAAAAAAGCAACCATAAAACTGGGCAAAAAGGCCCCCCCAAAAAATATTTAAAACTTTGGAAAATGACCAAAGCAGATAAAAAGTTGAGTATTTATTCCAAAGCACCTACTGAATCTCAGTAAGGGTGAAGATTACGGTTTCCCACTATGGGGTTATTCTCGGTTTGTTCTGCAGCGCAGAAACTCTACTGGGGCGGGGCAGGCAGAGGGGACTGACAGCAGAGGGGACTGATTTTATTTTGAGCAATAAAGGGAAAGTCCATGCCCAGGGGCAAAGTATGACCTTTACCCTGGGCAATAGATAGCGGTCAATAGAAAACAGTCTCTAATGGGGCTTAGTTACGTAATAGACTTAGCAGGCAAAACTCAAAGAAGCTGATACATGTAGGTTCTCAAAAACTGAACATGTTATATATGCCACACATGTGTCCTGGTGCTCCCACAATGCATCTTATTTATTTATTTATTTTTTTGCATTTTTTGGCCAGGACTGAGTTTGAACCCACCACCTCTGGTATATGGGGCCAGCGCCCTACTCCTTTGAGCCACAGGCGCTGCCCCCCATGATGCATCTTACATTGTATATAGACAAAGGGCTTGTCCTAGATGGCTTGGAACAGTCCAGCTTATGTACCTGTGCCAATAAAATTTCACATTGCACCAGGAGCAGTTATAACAACTGTCCCTTTTAGTCCCCAGATTGACCCTTTGGATGACAATCTATCTATCTATCTTTCTATCTGTCTATCATCTATCTACACACACATAATTTTCTATATAGAATTATATCAAATTTTACTATATAGATTATATTACCTATAATTAATACATATTATATGTATTTTGTACATATATATCTGTAACCATAAAAGACAAATTAAAAGAGAAAAAATCATTTTGAATACAGCAGGCAGAGAAAATTATATATTGTCTTCGTATTTTCCAGATTTTTCTTTAAGCATGAACACCTCTCTTTAATGATATGTAATTTGCACAAATTCTACAGGGAACTTTAAAGTTGCTAACCCCTTCACAAGCAGTCATGAAAGCCAACTTTTGGCAAGCCATTCTTTTTGTCACATTTGGAGGATGAACTGCTCTGTGAATGTCAAACTGTCATGCGAGGATATGTGTGTGATCCTGAGGATGGCTTTACTCTTTTCATGGTTGAAATTATTTTCTCCATATTATCTTCCATTTGTTAATGTTTGTGGGGGGATAAGAGTGGGAGGAGATGCCTTCCAGGATGGTGGCATGAGGAATTTTGCTGACCCCTTCCCCAACAACCATAACTGGTAAAAATTATTTTTAAAAGACAATTTAAAATCTCTAGAAATTTTCCTAAATGCAAGAAGTAAGGGAAGAAATAATTTTTCTTTTTATTTAATTTTTTAAAATTTCTTATAGCATAACTATGTACATTAATGCAATCATGGGGTACAGTGTGCTGTTTTCATATACATTTTGAAATACTCTCATCAAACTGGTTAACATAACCTTCATGTCATTCTCTTAGTCATTAAGTTAGGATATTCATACTCTGCTTTTAGAAAGATTCACTTGTACCCTTATAAGATAAATCAAGAAATAATTTTTCAAGAAAATCTGCTAAATTGTGGTGGAAAGAACAGGAGTTTTGAGCCATAATTCATCCCCTTCTCTCCCACTCCGTGCCCTGCTCAGTGGGCTGGAAGCTGGGCTCAGTGGATGTGGCCAGTTACATGGGTCCCTCTTCCTCCCAGTCAAGGCCCACAGCCCTCTCTGTACCCCCACCAGATCCATGTTCCAGAGGTTAACTTCCATGGCAGAACAACCAACAGTTTATTCACCAAGCCCCTACCGATGGGAATCTCTACCTTTGGCATAGCAGGCTGAGAATAATGGGGACCAAGTCATCCTCACTCTAACTCACTCATAGGGCAGAGAGAGGTCCCAGTTCTGGAGAGGTGAGCCAGGAACAGCAGAAGCCAACCTCCAGCCCAGCAACCTAGTCATGACACAGGAGTCACTCCAAGAGAAGCAGACCCCTTCTACCCCCCCAACTCTGAAATGGCTCAGAGACAAACTTGCAAAATGGAGAGGGGGGAGGGAGAACTCTGTCGCTTTCCCTGAAGGAACTAACTTAATTACAGAAGAACATAGGGAAAGTCAAGTCTAAGGGTGATGTGAAAACAGTGTAGATTTTGATAGCACAGGGGAGCACAGAACAGGGTAGAATTCTGCCAGCACCCATAGAGGGAGCATTCAGACCAGCCCAGCCAGAGAGAAACCCTTCACCCCCAAACCCAATTACCAGCCAGCATCCCACGAGCTGATAAAAAACAGCCCAGGGTCTGGGCAGTCGGGCTACAAAGGCTGCAGTTCTTGGCAATTTCGGTGGCTGTGCTATTGTGGAGTCAGTAGACCTGTGGCATATGTGACCTAGTGAGACACCAGCACTGGTGACTAAGCCAGGGCCTGTGTCACCCCTCCACCAATGACAGGTGGTGTAGCTCAGGGAGTCCTCTTCCACCCGTAGAAAGGAAAAGGACAAGTTCAGAGGACTTTGATTTGGAACTTGGTACCAGCTCAGCCACGGTGAAATAAAGTACCACGCAGACTTTGCAGGCCCCTGATTTATTTTTGGCTTTTTATTACATTGATGGTGGAATTTGGGGGCCCAAATACATTTAGGAAAGGCATAAGATTTCCCAATATTGAGGGCCCTGAGCATGACTTCTGTCTTCTTTTCTCTTTAAAAACAAACAAACAAACAAAAGACACAAATGAGTAACCAAGCTTGATAAATTGGAAAGTGACAAATGGTAAAAGTGGTTTCTGTATCTTCCTATCCAGCTTACATTCAAAATTTAAACTTAAGAAAAAAAATTAAAGCAGGTGGCGCCTGTGGCTCAAAGGAGTGGGGCGCTGGCCCCATATGCTGGAGGTGGCAGGTTCAAACCTAACCCCGGCCAAAAAAAAAAAAAAAAAATTAAAGTTTATCCTCAAGTTTGTCTTGGGAATTCTCCAAAACCATTTTAGCTTCTCAAATCCTGTAAGGTATGTATGTGTTTACATTTATAGACCCTTGTCTCTTACCCATCTCCTCCTCTTTTTTGTAACAGGAAAGCTGTCCTTTAAGTTTGTTAGACACAGGAATGACGTGGAAATTTAAGAGTTGGGTGTATGAGAAAGAGCTAGAGGTTAAATATTCAGAGAGAAAAATCTGTTCTCTCAAGTGGGACAAATCCCTCTGTTGTCCCTAGAGGGCGCTCAGCACCCGCTGATCCAGACCCAGGCAGCTTCAGGACCTAAAGCAAAGAAAAGGGATGAGCCTGGGAAGGGATGGTGCAAAGGCAGGGCACACAGAGCTGCCCTGGAAAAGCTGAATACAGAGGGAACTCCCCTGCCTTTGGGGAAACAGTCAGTGACCACGGATTCTCTGACGTGGCCCACAGCGTAGCAACCAGCATTTGGCCTTCATCCAGCAAGTGTCTGTGGGGACAGAACCCATCTGTGTGTTCCACGGTGTCAGGTGCCCAAAGGGCAGCAATATTCAAGAGGGAAGCAGATAGGTTATGACTCTCATTAAGTGTCCACCCGTCTCCTGTGTACTCTGCTCAAGGAGCTTTACTCACACTTTCTGTCTTACCCGCCAGTGAAGCAACGGGGTAAGGAAAGTTTTATTACATTCATTTTATAGACGTGGAAGGTGACTTACAGAGGTGAATAGCTTGCCCCAGAGAAACACAGCCTTTGTGTGTGTGTTGGGACAAACTTTAAATCCACAGTTTCTCCTACACACGATCCATCCCCTTTCTCAGCCTCTGCAGAAGGCTGTGAAAGAATTAAGTGTTGATTTCTACATGTAAAGCAAAATAGCTATGCATGATACAAAATTTTACATGCAAAGTATGGAAGTGCAAAAGATAACAGAATTACAGGGCCAAATATAACCTTCGCGGCCTTCAATCCAAAACACGAATCAACGGTGATTCTTTATTGCATGCTGCAAAGAACCTCTCCAGCTTCTGCTTGAATCTTTCAATCCCAGGGAATTTCCTACTTTGTAAATATATCCTTTCACTGATAAACTGCTGTCAGAAAGATTGTCCTTGTGTGACCCCACGTCTGCTGCCCTGACACTGACATTTATAATCCTAAAAACATCTTCTTGCAGCCACTAGTATGTGCTATTACTCTTTTTTTTTTTTTTTTGAGACAGAATCCTATGGTGTTGCCCTGGGTAGAACGCTGCGGCATCATCATAACTCACAGCAACCTCCAACTCTTTGGCTCAAGCCATCCTCTTGGCTCAGCTTTTCTATTGTTAAAAGATATGGGGGTCTCACTCTGGCTTAGGTCTCGAACTCCTAAACTCAAGCAGTCCACCAGCCTCAGCCTCCCAGAGTGCTAGGATTACAGGCATGAACCACTGTGCCTGGCCACTCTGGAAACCACTTCTG